TATGTGAAGGACCCAGGTGTGGGGTGCGTATGTGAAGGACCCAGGTGATGCTGTTGTTGAGTAGACGCTTTCATTTGGGGCGAGATGGGCAAACCTGAGATCACTCGTGCACCTGCTGCTGTTTTGGCAGTAGTGGGGTCAAACGCCAAGAAGGCTTGCTCACATCTGGCCACGGGTGCTTGTCACCTGGGGCACCTTGGTTCCCTCCACGGAGTCTCTCGTCCTCCAGCAGCCCAGACCACTGACAGGTGCAGAGCGTTGTTCCAAGAAAGCAAAGAAGTGGGGGTCCAGACAACACAGCGACTTAGAATTCTGCATCCAGAACTCGGCATGACCTCTGCTGCACTTTGTGAGTTCAAATCACAGAGCCGACCCCTATCTGAGGGACGCCATGGTCCTAGTCACAGTTCCCACAGGCCCTGCGAGGGATCAAGCTTCAGTTTCAAGACGTAAGAGATTTCCTGACGTTGGACCTAACAGTCTTCATAGGCCGTGTCCCGCGGTACTGAAGCAAACAAGTTGTCAGGTCAACGGCTTGTGCATTTCTGATGACAAATGTTTTTAAAAGCTGCAGGGCACTCGTATGATCATAAGCCATGACTTTACAAAGATCTGGAAGTCTTTACACTTCTGCCCATGACGTTTAGTACAAAGGAACCCAATTTACTCTTTGTTTCTGTGGAAACTGTAAAGAGCAGCTGCCAATCAAACAATCCTCTTGAACGCTTAGGGTCCCCAGATGTCATTAGGTCTAACATTCCAGGGTGGCTGTTGAAGAATGATTCTGATGTCCTCAGATGACTCCCGCTATAGCTGCTGAGGCACCAGAAGGCACAAGTGGCCTTTGTGCTGTCAGACTGGTTGGTGAATTTAGTCAGTAGCTTCCTCTCAACAGCGCCCGTCCTTGGTCTGGGAAATCTCAGTTGTGAGTCCCAGGAAAGGCTCCCAATTCCCAGCTCCACTTCACCCCACTCCATCCAGATAGTGAGCATGCTACAGAGGCCTATATCTGTGTCACAGTCCATGTGTGTGAAGAAGCGTCCACTTGGAAGGACAGAGATGCCACTGTCTTGGGGCACAGGTACTAGCAAACACACCGCTACGGTTCTGCCAAGCAGTGTTGGTCAGTTATCCAGCCTTCCTTCCCTTGTCGGCTGTGTGGTCGGAACCAGAAACCCAGGCTACGTAGAGCTGGGACCTGAGTCTACTCCACTGATGGACTGTGTGCTTTCTAACCAGTCCATGTATGTGCATGAAGCCAGAGGATGCTGAGTATGCGTGTGTGTCCCTGTCCATGTGCATGAAGAAGCCAGAGGGTGCTGAGTGCATTCCCATCACCTTGCACCTTTTCCTTGAGCCAGGGTCTCTGACTACAACTGCAGTGGGACGGCTGCCACCACATCCAGGATCCACCTGTCAGCACATGCAGCACCTACCTGTATGGGGACTCGAACTCAGGTCTCCCTTCATACTCCTGCAGCAAGCACTCTGGCCCTCATTTCTTAATCTTTATAACTGCTTTCTGTCTTTGAGTTCTGCCATTCGGTCCCCTAAGCACTCTGCCGATGGGAAAACATGGATCCACTAGGAATGCTTTGGTCTATTTTACTCTCCGTTTTTCATGTAAAGGCACATGTGTGCTCAAGAGGGGCTGTGCCGTTTCCTCCATACACAGGCACGCGTGTGCTCAG